GAATTAAACTCAAAACTTTTTGACTAAAGTTTAAATGCAAATTCACATTTAATTATTGTAACATAAAATAATTGCAGGTTTACGAAAAATTCAAAATTCTAATATCATTATCTTTGAATGATTGCAGCATTCATCGAATTTATGATGAGATTTATGAATACAATAAATTTAATTATGGAATTAAATAGATTACCCGCGGAGGATCCCTCAAAATAGCGATGGTTTTTGGATTGTCGAAAGCTAAAGCTTCACCATTTTCACCTTTTGAATTCTTTAATTTCGGATCACCATCCTGAAATACTGGATATTACCAATAGGAGCAATTTGAGATAAAAGTCAAGATAAGAGAATTTCCATGCCACAATGAATGAAAGAATGAAAACCCAAAAGACTTGGTGTGATATCGACTTCCAAATCTATAATCCGTCATTCACTGGCTAAGTTATCGGTAATTTGAAGACCCAATCTTAACGTATTTTCTCAACTTGTTTCAAATTCTCACACTTATCTCTTGTGATATTTGTGACAATGTTTTGACAATTTTGACAATATGACAATTTTTTGGAATGAAATACATCGGCCAGAAAACGTAAAGATAGCAAGCTCAAAATTAATTCTAGGTAGCAGCGCATCTTTTTGTCATTAGCTTACTAAAGATTGTTTAATGAAGTTTTGTTTTACGGTCAGTACTACTTGTATGACTGTTATCAAAATGATAATAGAACGATCGTTTGAACGAAACAGTACTGGAAAGTTCCCAGACATCCAAGAGAAAAGTGAAATGAAATAACTTATCATTGTGTTGGTTTCCTCTTTTTTTTCCCCTTCCCATTAAAACTCATTGAAATAAAAATTTTGGTTAATGAACAAACAAAAAAAAAATATTTTCTGACTGCAACCTATCCAGTAATAAAAAAAAGAACTCTTCGTTCATTTTCCTTAAAACATCAATGTCAGCAACAGTGGGAAAAAATCAAAAAAAAAAAGTTTTAAAAATGAGAACAGCAATGAGCAAAACGCGATTTTGAGAAACATATAGAAAGGTTTGTGAAGTTCGAATTACTACTATACAAAATCTTTATTGAAATTCCTTTCTAAATTTTGCACTGAAACAAATTATACATATATAAACAAGCATTCCTTCATTTGAATTCCATTGTGACAAATAAACGAAAATTGTATTAAACAATGAATAAATGTAACTGTGATAAATGATAAAGAAGGACTATTATCATTCAACTTTGTTCTCTAAAAGATGGAAAAAAAGTGTCGTAATGAATACCATAAAATTGACAAATAAGTTAACTAGAGTTTATGAATTAGAAAAAATTTTAATATTTAACAATCTTTTACACTTTAACCTACCATAAAAACAATAAAACACGACAAACATACATTCTGCAGCAATACAAGAAGTGTAAGTTCGTGTCCAATGCAGCATGCAGTTAATGTCGGTGTCATACCATGCAAATTGGGAATATTAGGATTAGCGCCATTATCCAACAAAGCTTCCGCAATACTAGCCTGTGAGCAAGCAGTTGCATAAGCAAGCGCTGTATCTCCCATATTATCCTGCTTATCAATTACAGCATCTTTTCGTATTAATAATCGTACCTGAAAAAATTTTTGTTAAATTTATCTGCAAACTAAAGCAGCCAAAAATGTAGCGAGTTCTTAACTGTGAATAAATTGAGAGAATAATTTTTTGAAAAAATCAAAAAAAATCGAATTACTGTTTTTCAAATTCTGTAATGATCAAAAACCACTTTTGTGAGCAATATCAGAATTCTTGAAACTATGAAATTATTCCTTCAAATATAATAAATTTAACATTTATTAAAAACATACAACAGCTAAATTTCCACATGTAGCAGCAAGCATTAGAGCTGTTTGTCCACTTGCATTACATAAATCTACCAATGCTCCTGATTTAAGCAGTAATGCACAAACTGCTTCATGTCCAAGATAAGCGGCATACATCAATGAACTCCATCCGCTTCCATTCAAACGATTTGCATCGAAACCCGTCTTCAATTGTGCCTAAAAGTGATCATTCGATATTCTGGAAGAAAACAATAATATTCTCATTGATCCAGTATTTGAAAAAAAAAAAGCCATAATTAGTGTTTTAACTATTACTCTATTAAATTTATTGATATTCGTCACGTAATTCAACGTAATTAAAATTAAAATACTTGAATAATTCATGTGATCTCATCTGCTTACATAATGTTACATAATTTACATTATCATTATATTTTAAGCCTTCTGAATTAGTATACATTTGATTGAATGCTATCGGGAAATAAAATGCTTACCTCAATCATTGGTGCATCACCTATGCTAGCTGCAGTATAAACATCATACGGACTATAAAGAGCATCATCGTACACTCGTGGAAGTTGTACCGGTATTTGAGAAGCTTTCTCATAAGATTCAGTTACATTTTTTACCACTGTACTGTTATGAGATACTCTCGGTAAATCTTCACTGAAACGTACCGAACGTACTGCGCTTGTCATTACTGTGACCTGAAATAATAATAAGAGCAATAAAGAAAAAACACCAATTTGACCTCAGATAATAACACATATGATAATAAAAACGTCGAGTGATATAGTTTGAGGATAAAGTAGTCATATTTAACACAGTAACACATTCCTCATAAATACTTCTTAATTTTTTTCAATCTTTTTTTTTGTAATTGTCCCGATCATTTGGAAATCAAATAAAAACATGAAATAATAAAAATCAGATGAAGAATGAAAGCAAATAAAGAAAACTATTAAAATATGAGTTAAATCAAATTTTAAGCATCAAATTAATTTTTTATTCTTTCCTTTTTATGGAACTTGACAAAATTTGAGAAATCATAAAATGGATAAATAATCAATAGAGTGTTAGGGAAATGCGTGATAAAGTTCTCCCCAATTGAAATGATGTGATATGCTATGCTATTAGTAAATAAATAAAAGACAATAAATGAAACATTTGATCTCAAAATCATATAAAATATCAAAACAAATTATTCTTTAAAGCTTTAATTGCTCCTAAATAGTATGCTACTATGATAATGACTGATATAATCATAGATCAACAAAGAAAAAGAACTTCTGGAGTTTTCTGAAAACTATTATTTAGTTGGCATATCAATTCATTTATATTTAATATACCTATCAAGACTTTTGATCATATTCTTGATAGGCATGATAAATTAATAATCTCGTCGAATTTAAACCTTCACTGTATTGGTCGCAAAGTATACGTGTTAATATTCTCCACCATCTGCTTTTTTACTTTAACCAATACATATTTTCAAATTTTTTTTTATGATGACAGTTTCAAAAATGATAATTTGACGATTTCGATGCCAGAAATAGTAAAAAAGGCATTGTTATTAATAAGGCTTTAATAAGCCACAATCAAAAGTTTAATTAGTTTCTATTCCAATTATTTCGTTTTTGGAACTAAATTTAAATTCGAGAATTCTAACGTCAAACTTAACAATGTGATCAGATTTATTCAGGTTTATCCAGTCGATGAGATTTTATAAGTGGCTTCGAAAATATGATAAAGTTAGCCAGACATTCCTAACTTTTTTCATATTTTAATTTTTTAATAGCTAAAAGAGATTAAAAAAAAGAAAATAGAATATTGGAAACTGTAACTTACTACTCTTTGAATTTTCATCAAAATTTTGGCTTGATTCCAGTTGCAAATTTTATTTTAATTTCGAACAAAAATACTAATTTAGATCTTACTGTAGACTATTTTCTTCTTTCAAGCTTAATTGGAAGGTGCTTTAATGCTAAACAAAAAAGAGCATCAACGTAAAATTGATGAAACAAAATTAAATAAACATAGAAATAAAAAAAAAAAACTTAATTACAGATATAGTGTGTAAACAAATGTTTGTTCAGTTAATTAGGAGCAATAACATAAACGATGATAAGAAGAATTGGTTGTATGAGAAGGATGATGGTCAAACGATTTGACATCGTTTAAACATCGATAGAAACTCGTTCTTCAGATGACGATCACCTATTGGCAGTCAAACTAACAACTGGTAAGTCCATTATATATTCAGAGATTTGAAATCAATAAAAAATAAAAATGAAATTATTCTCGAATAGCATTCCTACGCTGATTTTTTTTCACTAAAAAAAATCAATCAGTCAAATCCATACCAATTTTCAGCATTGAAATCGGAGGCAAGTTGTGTGATGTTGATGTTCAATCATAATTGTATGACGTATGATTTCTTACTGTTCATATAAACACCTATATTGAAAGAGTAGGAGAAGGAGAGACAGGGAAAGGAAGGGAGGGGGAGTAGAGACAGAGAGAGACAGAGAGAGACAGAGAGAGAGAGAGAGAGAGAGAAGTAAATAATTTCCTTGCTTGTTAAAATATGATCCATGTTTTTTTCCGCATAACAGCTCTTCAAATTCAGTTTTCATACGAAAAAGGCAGGTATTAGCGCCTTTTTCAGAAATTTCAGATGATTTTCTACTTTCCATTTCCTTCATTTTCTATCCAATCAATAACTGTAATTTTTTTTCCCCAAAGAACTCTATAATTTTTTCGAAATGAAATAAAATTTAATTATTAATAAATTTGCATGCCGCATTTCGGAATGATACCAAAACGAAATAAGAAGATTGGTTTTAATTGTTCTACTAATTTGATAACTTTATTAATTGGATAATTTTGGAAATAATGATAAAAATGACACTGTGATGATCTCAAGTGATATTACACCATCAGTTATTATAGGTATCACAGCTGGTCCGCATTCATCGATACTATCATCAATATCTGTACTGTTATCATTTCATGGATGATAAATCATTTCATTACTGTTAATGATAGCAAGTGATGATTACAGTATGATTGGATTTCCTATGAGGAAGGTTATAAAGAGTTTCAGATATATTGATACTGTGATGATAAATACAATTAGCCAAGCTTATCAGCAACTTCTCGTATTAAGCATTCATCTAATAATGCAACTGACGTGAAGTGTAATTATAACCACAGTAATGCAATGTGATGTCATATAAAGCCAAGTGAAACGTGCAGAATAAATACCACACGTGCAATAGCTAAGAGTGGACCTAAGATTACGAAATATATGTATACATATATATTGTCCTCCAATTATCCAGTCTGACCTCATATCACTTGATATCACCATCCAATCCACTATCAACCAACACAAAAGAACCTCTCGATGCTTTTACTAATAGTAATTGGACGAATTTTAATGGCTCTGTCAAAATTCGGCTTCAAATCGAGGACATACATTGATTGGAATGATTTAGTGGGTGCATGTGAGGAGGTTATCGAGTTTTTTTTTTTCTTTTTCTTTTTTTTTTTTTGCTGCTTCTCGTTAGATTTCATCACTTATTCATCGTTTCTGTGTCATATCATTAAAAATCTAATCAAATTTCGTTAATATTCATCATTTCTTTGTCATATCGTTAAAATCTAATCAAATTTCGTCAAAAATTAGTACATCGTATTTTGTTTTACAAAATAAATGACCGGTTTTGCTTGGAAACTTCTGTTGATTTAAAAAAAAAAAAAAAAAGAAAAAAGAAACATTCATTAACTGACATGTTGCGCACGGTTTATGTGCGTTATATTTCTTGAATTACAGCAGTTTGTTTTAGATTTTGAAATTTGCAGAATTTTTTCGGCATCCTGGCTATCTCTATATTGCCTCATTCATTATATTGTAATTGTGATCCGAGTACAAGCATACAAACGTTGTTCTTATCATCTGCAATATCAGTCATGTCTCTCGCTACAAAGAAACGTTTTGTGATGAAACAGGCGAAAAGTGAATTCTTTGAGCCTAAAGAGGACGAAATTATCGCACGTGTTTTAACATCTCCAGGAAGAAATTTACATGAAGTAAGTTATAGCCGTTTAATTTTGCAGGTATATCAATAGGTAATATTATGATAATACTACTATCTAGTTATTCTTTCTGTATTTCTTTAGTTTTTGAATTACATAATTTGCTGTTTTAGATGCGCAAAATTAATGTATAGTTGGAATTAGATCTTATTGAACTCAAAGTTGACCTTCATCTGAATCTTTATTCAAAGTTAAGACTTACTTTTTTCATCGCGTTGCTAGCTTGAATAGTTTGCAGTGGACGCAATTGTTCAGAAGTACTCATTTCAATTTCGAAATTTCAAAGCGTGATCTGTCTATTTTGACTACATATGTTCATTTTCCTTGCTGAATTGGTGTATAAATGCAGCAATTTTAGGTGGATGATGAAAAGGGCGAGAAATATTTAGCAAGTATGCCAAGGAAATTTAGGGAGACGATTTATGTCAAACGAGGCAGTTTTGTTTTTGTGATACCGATAAAAGAAGGTGTTAAAGTGAAAGCAGAAATTACGCAGATTTTGGATAATGAAAATATTTTATACTTAAGGGAACAAAAACTATGGCCTAAAAGGTTCATATTTCATTTCATATAAGTTTTTACTTTTTTATAGTCTGTATTGTTTCATCATATTTATTGATTCTTTAAAACATATACATATTTATACGTTGTATATATGGTATGGGATTTGGAATCTCATACAAAATAGACAGATAATTCCAGTTCAGGAAAAAGAAATCTTGCTTGCGCTGTTGGAAAAAAGTAGCATCAGTATATATCGTTTCAAGCAATTAGTTTTTGGTTTTTAGATTTGAAGTGTATGCAGAAAGTATAACTCGTGAAGCAAAAAGAGGTGTTGTTGCTGGTGGTCCGAAAAGACATAACGTTATTGACGAAGATATGCTGCCATCCAGTGACAATGATGACGATGAATGTGACAGTGAAGACGATGAAAAGAAGAACAGCGACAGCTCAGTGGGCGGTTTTTCCGATCTAGCAGGTTTTCTTTAAAATCGCGTACATGTTTAGAAGATAATTGGCGTCACACATTTACAATCACTTCTATATAAATCGAAGTTAGCTGAAAGTCAATTTTTGCATGTTGGAAAAAGTGATATGGGAACCTGTTATTTGAAATGGAACATTTACTGCATGGGGGATTTTGTAAAATTTTGTAGAATGGATAAAAAAGCAAACAACATAAACAGCATAAGATGAAAGAGGAAGAAGGAACTAGCATAGGTTATGCAAAGGTCTAGGATAAAATTATTAATCAATGTCTTTTTTACTTTTTTTTTTCACTTGGAGTATTATGTAGGAATTTTTTGTTTTTTAATGATTTTTCAATGATAGAAATATAAAAATCAATTAAAATTACTTAAGTAGTGAGCGCTGGATACCTGAAAGGTAAATATACTTGTCTGTGTTGCACATGTTTGAAGATTATTGACTTTAATTAATTTATTGTATTTTATTTCAATCCTCTGAAACACTATCTTTTTAGAAAGTGAAGAATTGGGAGAAAATGACGAGACGGAAGATGGCGATGAAGAAGGATCTGACAATGATGATCTTGCTTTCAAAATATATAATCCAAATCGATTAAGGCGATTATAATTTTTGCTGTTTTTTGTTTTGAACTTAACTGTTTTCGATATTTCGAATGTTTTTGCTACTTGTGGCAGAATGATATGAATTTTAATACTCCTAAAGAAAGAATTCTTATTATAAGGAGCTCTAGCTAGTATAATACTCGTTCGAGATCATCTTCTATTACGAATTTTTTTGTGATATTCTTGTGCTCATCAATTTTGATCAACCTCATGCTTTTGTTTTCCTGTTCTTTTATTTTTTAATGTTCCTGTTCTCATATTTTTTTTGTCTGTTCGTATATTTTCAGTTAAATTTGTTGTATCATTTCGAATGCATCACTTCACAAAGGAAGTAATTATGATGGAATTGGAAGTTGATTTCACTTTGGGTTTTTGGTTATGTTTTTGGTTATTGTTTGTCTTTTTTTTGTCTGTTCTTATATTTTCAGTTAAATTTGTTATATCATTTCGAATGCATCACTTCACAAAGGAAGTAATTATGATGGAATTGGAAGTTGATTTTACTTTGACTTTTTGGTTACTTCATTATTTGTCAGTTTTGAATTTCAGAATTTTGGTTGTATACAACGATAAAATATTTGCGAGGCATATATGTTGATTTGTATATTATTCGTTGAATATAGGCTAACTTCTACGTAAACTTTGCCTAATATTGGTAGAATTGCGTGGAATTCACTCAAGACATAGCTTCAGCATTAGTCAGCCATTTAAGCAGTTGAAATTACTGCCTTCTTCAAAAAGTGCTTTAAAAGAACTATGCACCGTGGAACTTATTTAGAGATTGCATTACTGAGTGTTCTGAATTTATTCACTAATTTGCTTGCTTTGAATACTGCTATGAGAATATTTCAGTTAGAGTTGTCACACATTTATTTGTATTATATGAAATGCGCATTTAATTTTTAAGGATCTTTGCTATTGCAATTCAATTTTTCGATGTGTACAATTTACACATTCTATGGGATTTATTCTCATTTAAGAGGAAATTAAAATTGTTTCCTACTTGATATGAAGCACAATTCTGTAGTATCGCTAATATATTTTGAGATATTTTCACCTCATTTTTTGGTAAGAGAGAATGCTATAATTGGGATGATTTTGTGCTACTTATAATTTTTTTAAAACTTAAAAAAAATTAGGATGAAAAAATTTGAAAATATTTGCTAATAATTATAAGAAGCTGAAAATTTATAGAAATTCGGAAATTACTATTTTATTTTCTCACATTCTTTCATATTCTTCCTTTTCAGATATTTTTTTTATGAGAAAATTTGGAACATATCAAAAACAGAAGTGCAAAGGCATTAACAAAATCTTTAAGCTGTTTCCTTTATGCTTTTTTTTAATCTTTCAAAATTTGAAAAAGTCAGTTGCTCAAATGGCCATTAAATTGTTTGTTTTGTTGTCGATAACAATCCCGCCTGCTAAATGATTTTTGTTTATAAGTTTGATTGAATAAATTCAAAAGTGATTTTAAATAATTCAGTTATGAGATGGAATGAAATTTTTTTATGGATAATTTCTGCCACATTATCATATCATTTATTTTACTCCAATCTTTTCATAAAAAAAAAGCGATTAATGAATATATCTTTTCATTTAAAAAAAAAAAAAAAAACGATTTAATCCCAATTTTATTACCTTTTAACTTTCATACATAAAGAAGTTTCACAAATATATACTGCTCGAATATTCCTGCTATCATTCAAGGCCTCCCTTATCTATATTATAAAAATCATCCATGATATAACTAATAAGTGACACGAGATGGTACCTTATCATTATGTTACAATTTTAGATGCATGTTACACTTTACCATACTTTAGTTATAGTCAGCAATTTTAATTAAATATTTAATGATGAAATGAATTGAGTAATGAGTATGGTAGCTGTTAGTTAAATTAAAAAATTTATTAAATTGTGCATAACTTTTAACATGAGATTTGAGATCGAAGAATAAAACTTTAAGATTATTTATTCACTGAAAATTTTTCTGCTTTCTAAATTGTAAACTCTTTGTCATTTATGAATAAAATAAGAAAATAAAAAGCTTTTTCTCATTTTTTAAAAATTATTTCAACCTTCTATTTGCAATTTTATAATCAATTTCAATTCAATCAACTGCACTTTTCTCCATATAAATTTAATGCTTTAATCAAACAAACTTTTGACTATGATAATTGATATTGTTTTTCAGTGAATAGGTGTAAAATGTATATGACATATCAGATCATTTCTTTAAATGTTTTCCAATAAATTGAAAATGATAAAGTAATAAATTTTCAAAAATAAGTTGTAAAAATGAAATCATTTGATAAATTAATTAATGTAGATTGATGATGAGCGAATAAATTTTGAGTCTAAGTCGAAAAGAACAGAAAAATTATTTATATTCTCATATTTTTATCTATTCTTATCAATCATTTTGTAAGCTATAAATTTTCATTCAAATTATTCAAATATTTTTTAAAATCTCAAATAAATTTGGAAAATCAAAACTTTTTTCTTTCTGCTGTATATGTTTGTTCCACTCTTTAGTTGATTTATAAGACAAAAAATCAGCGGATTTGACAAATAATTATGATAAATATCCGTGATCAATAAATAATTTCTGGCTGTTCAATGGTTTTATTCATACTAATTAATCGTCATTACCTCTGTGATGTTTACTTTATTCATAATGCATTTGTGTTATTTAATTTTTATCACCTATATTTAATCAATTATAGAACAACAAAAAAGATAAGCTAAAATCGTAGTAATCGTTCAAATTGAATGATTTATATTCAATTGATTTAACTAAGACAAAAAATCAGCGAATTTGACAAATAATTATGATAAATTGAATTGTAGTTTAAGAATGAAATTGGAAGCTTTCCATATTAATAGTAAAAATATCGGCGCAAATTCATAGTTTTATGTAAAATCTAATAATGAAACAAAAATTATTTAAGCTTATTCCAACAAATGAGTCCAATTTCGAATAACACAGCTTTCTATATGAAACATTAATCGTTTGAATTATGACTGTTTACAAGTCAACTTATAAAAGAAATGACAGTAAAGCATTGCAAAAATTTTGATAAAATCGAGTTTAACACTTTTTCACTTCCATCCTTTCATATTTTTTGATAAGCAAAAAAAAAACTTGGATTTTGATAAACAAAAATAAATTTGTTTTGAATGAAGAAGTTAATGCTTTGAAAGCTTTTTCTTTTATTAAAATGAATTTCTAACTGTGAATTATGAATGAGAGGGAGTGGTTAAAATTTGAAAAGATTTTTAACCTTGATGGAAATGGATATTGGTATTTTTTGAATATTCCGAAAAAACATTTATATATGGATGAGAGAAAATGGAAGGCTTGCCACTAGGATTCTTTTTCGCCATAATTATGGATGGATTCATTCACTGGCCAGAATATTGGTCAAGCTCAATGCTATCCAGTCATTTATTTCTCTTGGCTCATTTTCCTCATTTGTTTTTTTTTCTCAGTTTTTTCTCTTCTTTTTACTTTCCATTTCCATTTTTGTTTGCTTATTGAAAAAGTGGCTATCGAACAATTATTTTGATTATAACTTCAATATTATGTAAAGAAAAAAATCAATTTTACTATTTTACAATAGATAATTTATGACGTAATTTCAATTTCACTGACTTGTCATAATAAATAATTAAAATTTTTTTCCTACCATTTCATTAATTTCTATTTTTACTTATATCCAATGCTTCTCACACATTAAATAATTTCTGCTGTAACTATGCTAAATTATACAAATAGATGAATTCCAAGAATGGTTATCGGAAGATTAAGTCATAAGAAATAGATTGTCCCTCAGAATAGCTCAGTAAAGCTAAATTACAGGAGGTGATTTTTAGGCATGATCTCAGTGAGATTAGTTTTCCAAACATAACTGCAATAAAGTTAAGTCCTAAAAAATAGAAATCACTTAGCCTGATTATGTTAAAACTAAATTATAAAAATTAATGATATGCAAATTAGAACAAGTTAAATTATTCTTATAAAGTTAAACTTTCTTTAATAGTTTCATCTCCAGGTTTTTCTTTTTTACATCCTTTTCTAAATTAGTATTATTTGGATCGAATGCTATCCTAAGCTATATGCAATAAACACTAGCTTGGCCAATTATATCAGGCCCTATAGCACACAAGGGACAAGTATATTGGAATCTATTCACTGCTATTACAATACTTTTCATTCGTTCAATTTCACAAATTCTGCTCACATATGCTATTTTATAAGTTACTTTTCCTAATTCATAAATTTACATTTAACATAACTTTCTCTCTTTTCTTTTTTACCATATTCTTTGCTTACTATGCACGCCTCCAAATGAAATATCATGAATAATTCGTGTGTCGTGAAAAATTTGTTGACATTTATAAATGAAATGTAAAACTTCAAATGTAATACTTAACGATATATTTACTACTCACTTGATATTTTAATAATTTTCACAATAGATTTACATTTTATGAAAGTTAGACTTCACGCGCAGCAAATAACTAAAATTTTTATTTTTTGCAAACAAAAAAAAAATTCTTTTTTTGAGCGACCATGACACTTA